CCCCTCCCCAAGCCCGACACGCCCCGCCGCACCCCACCGTTCGTACTCGGTAATGCCCGGTAATCTAATCGACGGTTGACTCGTTTCAATGCACATTCGTGGTGCGCGCGCTGCTCAGGAGGTGTATAATGTCCTCCTGGGTCATCTTCGGGGAGGCGCGATCGCTTCCTTGGTCTGGCCGCAGAGACGTCGCCGTCAGGCCATCAGGTAGCCGCGCCCAGGTCCGCGCCGGCCGCGGCCGCCAGGGAGTTGCCCGCGTAACAGAGTCCGCGATGGCCGTTCGGTCTGTCCGGGCCGCGCCGAGGCTTATCAGTCAGTCAGCGTGTGAAACAAATCGTTATCTCATCGCCAGGGCTTGGTTATTGCCTACGGGGCAGCGGAGCCAGCCGGCAAAGTCCCGCCCAGCCCCGTCCCCCGGCCGCTACGCCCTACCCCACCCCACCCCGCCGCACCGCGCTGACCGCCACGCCCTGCCTCAATCGCCGCCCAACATTCGCGAGTAAGCACTTTCCGAAACACGGCTAGAATGAACCGGATCACGTTTGGAGAGGCAGAAATGCCGTCCAAGTGCGGCAATCAGTGATAAAAAAAAATACAAAAAAACAGGCCGTGGCGCGGCGCACGTGTATCGGCCGCGCGCCGGGTCGCCAGGAAGGAAAAACACAACACACAAAAATTAAAACTGATTTTTGTATACATTTTTAATGCGACTTTCCGAAGCGAGTAGGCGATGAGAAGATGTCACCCGGCCGAGGAGTGACGCGCCCTCTTGGACCTACCCCACTACTGTCGCCCGTGCACCATGCACAGCCCCAAACGGTGGCTTCACTCACCTGCTCTCTCTCTCTCTCTCCTCCCCTCCGCAATCCCAGCACTGGCAGCAGGGACTCGGGATGTGTGCCTTATCCTCGTCGGTGCACTAGTTGGTGTCCTCGAGCGCGAGCCCGGCAGTGTGTGTCCTGGGAGTCGGTCGTCGTGCGCCGCGCGCGCGGGGGGGTTGGTGTCCAAGACCACAGCCCGCGCAGGATCAAAACACGGCGGGCTCTCGTCACTAGCGCGTCGTCTGCTAACGCGTCGTCTGCTCCGCAGACAGTTGCCGGTCGCTAGACTGCGCGTCGTCTGCAGCTGCGGATGATCTCGTTTGCTGCTGCTGCTGCTGCTGGATTGTCGTCGGCCGCCGCGCCGTCGTCAGTCATATGAGGCACTCGAAGTAGCAGGTGAAGACTTGCGTGCGTCCGGGCGCAACCACCATCCTAAGCCCCGCGGGCTCCGTGCGGCACAAGTGTGCGCTGCAGCTGCACCGCGCCGTGTGTGAGTGTGGGGTATGTGAGGTGCCGCTCGCGGAGCGGTCTGTCACGACGCCTCGACCATCTCCTTCTCTCTCTCGCGCCTCGGTGCGTCCCGGTCTGCTGCAGTCGTCGACTGATGCCACGCTCACTCGCTCGCTCTGGTACTCGCTCGGTTCGGCTGCACGGCGCGCTCCCGGCTCCCTCTCCGACCCGTCGTCAGTCAACGGCTGCGAGATGACTATATGGTGCGGCGGGACGGAGCGCCACCGCCGGGCCCCGGGCCCCGGGCCGGGCCGCGCTTGCCAGAGGCTTGCCGCCGGGGCGGGCGGGCCGGCTCGGGCCGCGCGTCCTCCTATCGTATCCGATGCGATCCTATCCACGGGGCG